GACAAATATGTTCTTCTCATGGACAGAAATTCAGCGAGTCTCCTGTGGCAGTGACTCTGAGGAATGGTGGCTCAGATGACAGTGTAAATGATCAGGAAACTTTAAATCATCTTGAGAAAATTGACTGAATTCTAACAGGTCTTTTTCCTGTGACCTGTCAGCCTTTGTCATTTCAGCTAATAAAATACGATCTTTAAATGGGTGTAAGTGCTTATTAAGCATCAGCAGAATATATGGCACTCACTGTATTTTTCTTGGGGCTACACTTATAAGAACACTAGTTTTTATTTTAGCACACTTAGGATGAAGAATATCATCTTGGTCTTACACACCAAGATGCACTTTCTTGAAAAAGCAGCCAGGACTTGAAATAAAATGAGAGGACCATTCTTCCTTTTTTTTTCTTTTGATTTTAAAACAAAAATCTTTTTTTCATTTATTTGGTGCAGGGTCTCCCTGGGCCGCTTGGGCACATAGTGATCCTCCTGTCTCAGCCTCCCCAGCACTGGGATTACAGGCATGCGCCCCAACACCCAATTTTGGTGGCTGGCACAGTGGCAAGGCATGGATTACCAGGGATCGAACCCAGGTCCGTGCATTTGCCAGACAGGCACTTAGACCATCTAGCTATCTCTCCAGACCTTAGATTTTTAGTTTAAGTAACTTTTATTATTTTGGAAATAATGATTTAGAGCTGGGCATGGTAGCGCATGCATGTAATCACACCATTTAGGAGGCTGAGGCAGGAGGATTGCTGTCAGTTCGAGGCCTGCCTGGGCAACAAAGTAAGCTGAAGGTCAGGGTAAACTGCACAGCAAAGTTTTGTCTCAAAAAGACAAAAATAAGTGAACAAATTAAAAAGAATGATAATGACTTCAGACAATAAATGTTAAACTAAAGAATAAACTGAGGTGTCTAAATACAATCCAGTTCATCTATAAAAATAAAATGTTATCACAGTAAAGGATTTTCAAAGGGATCTTCTGTTGGTCTGTCTTGGGGTGCTGTGGATGGAGCCCCCGCCTCTAGCAGGCTACTCAAGAGCTACACCCAGCCGCAGGAAGAACTTTAAAATTTACATTTTTTAAAAATTTTTCAGGAATACAGGTGGCATAAAATTTTAGCGAAAGTGTTGTTTCTTGTTTTGCAAACAAAGGGAGAAGTGTTTTGTTTGTTTTCAATTCTAACCCTACTCCATCCTTAACAATTCTGTATTGCTGTTTACCTATTTAAGACAGCATAAAACAGAATCCCTGAATATCAAGGGAAAAGCAATCGGTTAACAAAAGCTAACCGATCAAGTCAGTGGCAACACCCATCGCTTGAAGCCTAGAGTTTCTGTTTTTTTCATTGAAAATTGTGGGAGGCTCAATAACTGCAGGCCTCCAATCCCATTGCAAGGGGCTTTCTGGGTTCCTCTTCCCCTACCTCTGCTGAGCTAAGCTCCTAATTCTTCTCACCCCGCCTATTTCCCATAAGTCTCCTGCTGTGCCCCGGAGGTGGGACTTCCTGTCTTAGCCCGGTTGCCTAGTTACTCGCGCCTTTTACCCGCCCACGTCATTTCCCTGCGCCTCCACAATATATACCCAGCACCTCCCCTGAATAAACGAGACTTGATCAGAATCCTGTCTTGTCCCCATTTCTCATGTCTCCTGTCCTTTGTCCCCTCCTCAATTCCCCGCTCCTCCCCCAGGTGACCTTCGCTGACTGACTCGCTGGCTCGGGACAAGTGGTGCCCAACGTGTGGGGTACCTGGTATGGAGGATCCAGTGAGGGAACCGTCCGAGAGAGCCGGCAAGAGAGAAAGTAAAAGAGGCCCGCGCCGCAGTTGCCTGCTGCGACGTCTGAACCTCGGTAAGCAGACGGCACCCCCTTTCCTCTTCCCTTCCACAATGGGACAGGCATTAAGTGAACATGAGATATTTGCAGAAAGTTTGAGCAAAGCATTAAAGGCGCAAGGAGTAAAGGTTAAAATTAAGGATTTGTGTCAATATTTTCAATATATTAAACAAGTTTGCCCATGGTTCCCTATTGAAGGAACTATTGATCAGAGGTGATAGAAAAGGGTTGGTGATGCCCTTAAGGATTATTATGAGACTTCTGGACCTGAAAAGGTCCCAGTTACAGCCTTTTCCTACTGGAATTTAATTGATGAAATCTTATCCTAGAGACACTGTGACCCAGTTGTTGCTAATGTGATTAAAAAAAAAAAAAAAGGGTGAAAATATACTACAGGGACAAAAATGTAAAACCCATCATAAAGGACAAAGAACCCCCTAAGGGTGTGTGCTCTCCTGTAAGGGAACAGAACCTTGAAATCGAAACCAGGAAGCCAGAACTGCCAAATTCCAAATTACAGCCCGAGGAGAAAATTAACCCCTTTGATTTAGAAGGAGCTACGCTCAAAGTTAAAAAAATATATCCTGAACTACCAAAACCTCTGCAAGTTGAAGCCGATTACAATGAAGTTGATTGGAATGAACTGGTGGAGGAAGCCACTTGATATCAGGGCCAAGATGGGCCACCCGTGGTTCACCAACCTCCGCCATACAGCACTGATCCCAGTGCACTTCCTTCAGCGTGTTTGGCTTCTGACCCCAGAAAGGAATTAAAAGGCAAAATTGAACTTCTCAAAGAACAGATAAAATTAGAGAAAGAGCACCAAGACCTCATAATCCAATTAGAAAGATTAAAATCAAGAAAACCCAAAAATGAAAGTATAACTGGACCAAAGGACCCCTGTATTCAAAGGCCACCCGTGAGGGGCGCTATCCCTGTTAGACCCACCCATAGACCTAGATAAGACAGAGGCATTTCTGGTGTCAGAAACAACAAGCGCTCAAGGACAGATTTGGTGCCATTACACTAGTTTTGATTTTAAAATACTAAAGGAACTAAAAACGGCAGTTGCCCAATACGGAGCCACGGCTCCATACACCACAGCCATTTTAGAAACTGTGGCTGACAATCTGCTTACTCCCGAGGACTGGCAGGCATTAGCCAGAGCCACCCTCTCCAGGGGGGATTATCTCCTATGGAATTCTTCCTGTATACAAGGAAGCTTCCACAATGATAGCTTCACTGTTGATGTTGGATTTGTTACCTTCACCAGCTACAATCAAATACTTAACTACAGTAGCCCTATTTGCCCAAAAAAGGGAAATGTCGGGAAGTTTAGCCTTCACATATTTACCTACCAACTGGACCAGACTGTGTCATGGCAATTGTATTGCCCGATATAGATGTCATCTCTGGTAATGATCCCATACCCCTTCCCAGTTTAGATTATGCTATGGGCCACACAAAGAAGGCAGTCCAGTTCATCCCTTTATTAGTGGGGCTAGGAGTCATGGTGGCCATGGGGACAGGCACGGCAGGGTTGGGAGTAGCAGTACCTTCTTATACCAGATTATCTAATCAGCTGATTGATGATGTTCAAACACTGTCTGGTACTATCCAAGATATCCAAGACCAGATAGATTCATTAGCAGAAGTAGTCTTGCAAAATA